CCAAAAGGAGAGGAGGGGTAACGTGGTGAGCTCTGGCACACAGGCAGAAAGCGTGAACAACTTTCACTGCAGACTTATGTAACTTTGCTGGTGGTGACACAACTCGCTGAAGGGTGGTTTAGGCACGGATAAGGGACATCCACTGACCTGTAAATAGAACTATTAAAAAATATGCCTTGAAATACCTCACATAAAGCAAAATTATATAATCACATTGCCTCGTGTTTTAATACTGAAACAACAAAGGCTTCATATGCAACAGAAATGAAAGCTTTCTATTAATACCTCAACTTGAGAATTAGCTGAACAATTGTCCCCAGTCCCCAGGGCCAGCTTTTTCTGCTTTCTGCATAGGATCCCTTCTGGCTGACTACCCTGGAACATATACTGCAAAGAAGTTCCTCTAAAAGCCCCTTGAAAAAGGTAGGTATAAAAAAAAATGAAAATGCAAGGATAAGTAACAGTCATCCAAAATAAATACCAGCATGAAACATGCTATTGTATTAGCTACACTAAGTTCAAAGAAAAAAAAAAATCAAACAATGTCAATTTTCAATTACGTTGATTAGAAACAATCTGGATAATTAGTAAATAGAATAATAATATAGGAACCATGATATGTTTGAAATGAAGCGACAGAAATATTCCAGAAGAGAGAACAAGCTAATTCATAATCTTCCTCAAAAATTAATTTCTCATTCTGCTATAGAAAACATAAACACTTTGTTTTGCACATCAAAAAACAATTAACCTATTCATCTAAGGCACAGATGTTTTTCAGGAAAGGTTTTTTGAGCAATTTTTTTTTTATTTGGTGTTTAATTTTACCTTGTAATTTTTTTTTTAAATTATCATTTCATTATTGCTGAACACCCATAGGGGTAAAGACCCAGGTTAAGGCAGGCATGCACTCCTGGGCTGTTTTCAGTGGGCAGAGCCTGAGGGTGGGGCTGGGGAATCCAAATCCAGATCCTCCCATCCTGACACACCACAGATTGCAGCTACTGCATGGCACAAATTAGAGGAGCCCAGGGACTGTCTCCCGTTCCTCGAGGAACCAGAGACGTCTCTGGTCATGTTAAAAAACAATCTGAAGTTTTTACCCAGTTCAACCACCAAATCAAAGCTGAATACCAAAGGGCCCCAAAAGCACCAAAAATGAGTCTACTCTGGGGACTCTCAGCACCTTTTTTGTGTTATGAACAATTTGGGATGCACCACCACATGAGGCCACACACCTGTTTCAGTCAGCCAAAACTTGGATGCTGCCAGACTCCCAAAACACTCCTGATCACCTTAATCATTTGGGGAGATGGGCTGAGGATCAATGTGCACTGGAAAAGATCCTGTCCTAACCACAGCTCAGAGATCCTGAACCACAACTGGAAGCGCCGCTGAACTTCTCCAGTACTCCCAGATGAATACTGGTGAGGGAGCAAAGGGTTACATTTCAGCAGGAAATGTTAATTTTAGATTTATCTGCAATGCATGTTTTCCTGATCAATTAATAGACTAAAATGAATCATCATCTTTGCTCTTGAGGCAACAGGGGAGAAAGAGACCCGAAACTACAGCTGGGAATTTGTTTTCCCGAGCTGTAAATCCATTGCTCCTGTGTCTGGGAGTGAGAAAGCACGTGCAGCTGAGGAACTAAGGCTAAAGGGCTCTGTACTACAACTTTTATCCTCACCTTAAATTTTAGGACATGTATTAAAAGTGTAACTTCATCTCTACTCTCACACTAAATAAATAATTATGGGGCCAGGAGGTGAGGGAGCCTCAGAGGAGGCTGCTACACTGCTGCACTGCCAACTGCTCTGGGATTTGAAAGCTTGACACATGCTGGAGTATCACCTCATCAATGTTCCCAGCTGGCTTGGGAGGCAAAAACCTGACTACTACTCTTAAAGGCAGGTCTCACACACGAGCAGCCAAGTGCTCCAGATAAGCTTCAAGAAATACAGTTATTACAAATGAATGGTACATAAGTCAAAACAAAATGGCAACAAGAACTTTTAGCCCGAAACATCAGCACAGTTTCAAGTTTTAATTCTCTTATCTGAAATACCATTGTATTTCAAATAGGAGAATTAAAGATCATGCTGCTTCTCAGCATCTTTGCTTAAAAGACATTAAAATCTGTGCCTTTGTACATACTCACTGCTGTTCAAACTGCTTTCTAGTAAAATAAGCTTTTTTTTTTCTTCCATATTCACAGTATTTACATAAAACAAGGTACTTCGGGAGAATGTCAGCTTTCTACCCAAAAGGGATGACCCAGCCTAGTCAGTGATCTGCAGTAGATGTTCTTATTTCATAATGAGGAATTGACTTTATGCTTCAAAACGTTGGCAAGTGCACTACTGCATCTGTATGATAGCACTTCACAGTGTGCAGCCCAATCCTAATCTCTGGGATCACACTTTTGGCTAAGAGCTGCAACCCCCTCTGTTTACACTGCAAATAAAACAATAGCTCTTAGAAACTGAGAGATTAATAAATTGAAGGATCACACATTTCTAACAAAGGGCAGACGCTATTTTATCTTTATGATGCAGAAGAACAAGCCAAGAGGTAACCAAAGTGACAAGCATAAGGGCACCTGTAATTTGTTTTATCATGCTATCAGAACTCCATAGGATGACAAAGTATCACAGCCTATACAATATTTACCATGAGGAGCTTTCTGCAAGTAGGGTACTGTGTGCTCAGAAGCTGCATGCTCCAGCTATTCCTTAACTACATATGACAACACTCAACTGCAAAATTCACAGAGGTGACTGGAGGAGTTTCATTTCAAAATAGCAGTTTCATTGACTAAACTCTTCTACTGAGCACGACTACAGCAGTTATCAGGATTATTACTATTTTATTTGTCAGTTCAGTAATGAAATAACACATTCCCTGATGGAGAAACACTGAATCTGTATTATTTGGGGGATATGGGGAGTGTTTACAGAAGGACAGAGAACACACCACTGACTCTGCATCAATTTACACCCTCAATGCCATCAAACAAACACTGAGAAGCTAAATTCACATCCCAAGTATTATTCTATATTAACAATGACAAAAATGAGGGAACAATTTATCTCTCCCATTTTCTCTTATCTGTTTATGAATTGCAGCCACCTCATAAACACCCATTTCTTGTCCAGGCTGGAAAAGAGGCAGGTTTGGGGCAGAGGATTGTTTTGTTTCCTTTTGGTTTGAAATACACCAGCGAATTGCCAATGGGCAAAATATTTTGTCACTACCTCACTCTGGGGATGGCTGACATAATAATAAACTGAAGAGGATGCTATCTGTCAAACATTAAGGAATTCCAATATTGAAATCTTGCTGCCTTTGGGGGTCAATAAAGAGCAACATTATAAAAGACACTAAAGTTAGCAGTTTGGGCTGCTAATTTTACATGCCTGCTTCACCAACGCACAGCTAAAAATAGATAAAACAGATAAGAGCACAGAACAAAGAGATGCACTGGACAATTATCTTTCTGCTGGCAGTCTAATTTATACCCAGCTTTTTAACCCTTTTTATTTGTACAAGAAAGAGATTTTCAAAGTATTATTTAATGCAATCTCAATATGAAATTATTAAAAAATGTTTTATTTTTCTTAGTATTTTCTTGCTCCCTTCCTAGTGGGACAGAATAACAAGGTTTAAAATATTTTAATAAGGGCATCAGGCTACTTGCCAAGGGGCTCGAATACTAAGTAAGAATATTTACATCTTTTAAGACCCTGTAGGAGGAATCAGTGCAATGCTCTTGAAACACGTACACACATCGCAAATATGACAGTTAATTTTAATTCACTGAAAAAGAAAGTACTTCAGTTTATTAGGCCTCATTATTTTCAATGAAGCTAAAGGGATGATTATCTTTAGCTGCTCCAACGTGGCCTAAAAGCAAACATTCTTCCTGATAAGGACAACACTTACTAAAATATAAGGCACTGTGAAATTGTTCAATTTACGTTACAACAGGTGAAATTTTAAAAACCAGCACTGCTAACAATATTTTCCACCATTATTCTGTCCATCTCGGTTCTGTGACTTAAAACCTGACTTTTGAATTTAATTTTTAGAGGAAAACAAAGCAGCACAGCAGTCTGACTCATATCTACACTGTAAACAGGCTTATTCTATGATTTGAAGCCTTCTTTTGGTAACATTTGCTTACAAAATGATAATGTTTATAAACAGAATCGACATTCTGTCTCCTTATGTCTGGGGGCAGGAAAAAAAATCACCTTCACATTAACATGACAATTTATGCCCGGCAATTCTGGAGGCATCACCCTGTGCACATTATTCATGCTACCTTAAAAAAACAACATCATAAATGCATGCTTTAAATAAGAAATAAATAAAAGTAAGGGAAAGAACGAAACAGAGAAATTGAGATTTAGGGGGAAGAGCCTTACCTCTGACACACAACCCGTCCGCAGCTCAGCCAAAACCATCCCACCACCAGCCAGGCCTTAAGCACTTTTTTACAGCAATAAAACGCCGCTTTTAAACTTCCTGTTTATCCAAACACCGGCCCAGCTTTCCTGCAGCTCAGAGCCGGCAGCGCTCACCCCACGAGAGGGGGAACCCAACACCCCAAAGCTCCTCTGGGAGACCCAACACCCCAAAGCTCCTCTGGGGGAACCCAACACCCCAAAGCTCCCCTGGCGAACCCAACACCCCAAAGCCCTCCGGGCCGCAGCTTCAGCGCCCTTTGAGTTTGGTACTTCGGGACGACTCGCACCCCCCGCCCCTCCGCCTCTCGTTTTTATTTCCCTTTATGTTTTCACCCAACCTCAAAAAGCAGCCACCGGGCAAAGTTGCGCCGGCGCTGCGGCCGCCAGGGCAGCCCCCAGCCCGCGGCGGGGCCCGGAGCGGCGGTGACGGGCACACAAAGCGCGGTGGCGGCGGCCGCTCGTGTGTGTCCCCCCCTCCGCCCCGCTCCCCGCCCGCCCCGCACCGCGGCGAACAGGCCGGATGGTTACCTAGAGGCAAGCCCTTGTTCAGGAGGTGCGAACTTCCCATGGAGGCGCCGCGCTCCGTCCGCGCCCGCCGCGGGGAGGAGGAGGACGATGAGGACGAGGAGGATGCCGGGGGGCAGCGCCGCTCGGAGCCGCCGCGGCAGCCGCGGCATATGGCGGCCGCTCCGTGGGCGCCCCCGAACTGAGCGGCGCCTCGGTGCGCGCCCCCGCCGCCGGGCGCGTCCCCCGCCGCCGCCGCGCCCCCCAGGCTCGATCTCCTGGTTCTAGGCGGGCGCCGAGAAGAACGAGACAGCGGGGCGGGCGAGCCTGGCTCGGCCGCGCGCAGCGAAACCGGGACCTGCCCTGGGACGCGATGTCGCCACTGCTTTGTTGTATTTTGTTCCGTTTTATTCAAACTTTGGCTAAGTTAACGCCGGCTGCCTTCACAGAGTCACAGAATGGGTCAGTTTGGAAGGGATCACAGCGGGCCATCGAGTCCAACGTCCCTGCTCAAACGAGGTTTTCCCAGAGCGCATGGCTCAGGATTGCGTCCAGACGGGTCTGGAACATCTCCAGGGAGGGAGACTCCACACCCTCTCTGGACAATGTATTCCGGGTGCAGGCACTGCACAGGAAAGAGAAAGAAGTTGCCCCGCATGTTCAGGTGGAACTTTGCCCATCACTTTCTGCCCACTCCTGGCATCCCAAACCATCAGCACGTCTGGTGTTTCGGCTAAGGCTGTTCTCTCACCAACTAACAGGAATGCAAAACAGCCCCAACGCTCTAATTTTGCCTCTGGGGAGGGCCAGTGCCTCCTGCAGCTCCCCTGATGCGCCCTGAAGAGCCCCAGAACTAACCCCGCGGTCTCCGCAGAGCCGGCACCGCCGCGAGCAGGGGCAGCTCTTAAAAAAAAGAGCAGCGATTTGCCCAAAGTCAATGAATCCAAGGCTGATTTCTTCCCCACGGGAATGCTCCCATCGCGCCCACGTGGCCGCGGTCCCTCGGGGTCACCCCGCGCCCGCCATGCCCTCCCCGCCCGAACAGCGGCGGCGGCGGCCGACGCAAACCAAAGTGGTGGCGGCGCCCCCGCGGCCGCTGGGTCGGCTGACGGCGGCCCCGCCCGGGCGCGGTGAGGGAGCGGCGGCCGCCATGGCCCCGCCGCCTCCTGCCCCGCGGCTTTTCTTCTCCCCAGCGCCTGGAGCTCTGCTCCAGCTCTCCCAGAAACTTTCCCTCTACTGGCACAGCTGCCCCTTCCTCCTTCCCAGCCGCGGGCGGGAAGCGGAGCCGCGGCCGTTCGCTCGTCCGTCCCCACCCACAGCCCAGCCCAGCCCGGCAGCGAACATCCCTTCTCTGGGTTTTTCCAGAAATAAAACGATCGTTTCCTGTCAGCAAACGGCCCCGGCATCCGTCAGGGAGCCGGACCCTCTCGGATAAAGACAGACACTCCTGGGTAGCAAACAAGAGCAATTCGCTGGGAGAACGGACAGGGCTGTAGATTTTTCCCCGGGGTTTTTTGGGAGTTGGTTTGCCCGTGAGGGGAATATTTGAACCCAGAGGTTATGAAGGGTGGTTTCAGCCGCCGAGTTGTGTGGATTTCAGGAATCCGTTCAGAGCACAACTCAAGGCTTTTAGCATACAGGCAGCCTTCAGCAGCTTGGCTTCAGCTCCCTAATAACTCGTTTTCCTCCATCATTTCCCAGGTACTGTGTCCCTTTCATGTGATTATCCACCGGGATTGGGAGGTAACTCCCAGGACAAGTTTATGCAGCCTCTGACTTATCTTCATTTTCCTCCTGTATTCCTGGGAAAGCCTTTTGTGGCTCAGCACAGACGTCTCAGACATGCCTCAAAGAACAGCTTCCCTAAATTCTCACTGTGCATCACCAGGGCAGCATCTAGCCAAGCGCCTCATGTGGGGTTTATATAAATAAATTTGGGTTTAATCACTTTAAAGTGGCTAACCACTTTATTGCCATTTATAGATGTTAGCAAAATATAAAAACACATACATATCAAAGATCTAAGGAGAAAATAATTATTTTTTTCTCCCTCGCTGCTTCAGTTGCCATGTGGCAAAGTATCAGGAATGAGCATTAGGGGGTCAAACACGCTTAAACCACAAGAGAAATATCTGTGAATACCAATATGGATATAAAAATCTCCAGAAAAAGAAATTACTAGAGGAAAAGGAAAAAATCAAAAATGAAATTAAGAATTCAGTTTCATTTTTTCACAGAGAGACATAAACAGATCCAGGCACTGAGACCATGTCCTCAGTGGGGTTACACGACTGGGCAAATGTTTAGATCTAAACTGGAACTGCTGCTTCGGGGAGGGAGGGGAGTGTGGCGCAAAATATTATGACAAGGGGAGTGCTCTAAGTGAGGATAAGTTGGCATGATGAACAGATGGAGGATTCAATAACAGGAGGTTATTAATACTGCAGTTTGGTATTCTCTACGCTACTTCATGAAGGGATTCATATGCTTGCTCTTTTTCCTTTTCTGATTGTACACAGACCTAACAAATACACACATTGTAGGTAACACGGGACTCAGCTCCTCCCTGGCACACCCATCCCTAGTTCATGCTTCCTGGGAAAACATCGTGGGCTGGATCCTCGGCTGATGCTGGCTGGACCAGCAGCAGCAGCAAGCTGCATCTGCTGAAGGAAAGAGGTTATCTGACCCCATCTCCCCAGCCAAAAGCTCTCTGCACCCTGCTCGACAGCTGCCACAGGGCACCTGCTCTACAGAATAAACTATGCAGACTCTCAGGATGGAAAAGAACGTGAAATAACTCATGCAAAATTGAAGTTTTCCTTCAGAACACAACGCAGTGCTCTTTCTGCTTCAGAAAATGCAGCTCATTTTCCCCCAGATTCAGCCCCCCTCCCTTGCATGGCTGTCAGTGGCCTAGTTTTGGACTGGAGATGAGAAAATCCAGGAGCAGAAGAGCTGACTCCAGCCAAGCCTCCGGTTGCCCCCATCTGTTTTGCTTCCTGCTTTCTCCAGCAGGTTGCCTCTGGATCACCTCACATTCAGTCATCTTCACAGCTTTTACACCATGGCTCACAGAGCTGCAGTACATCTTTCACAAAGCCTAACAATCCCCATCTTCTTATTGCATTTGGGCACTGCTGTTACTGCAATCTTTTTTCAACAGCAGTGTCTTCTGTGCCCTGCACTAAGAATTATGGCATCTTTCAAAGCCCCCAAACTGTTTCTTGGCTTCTTAAGAGTCAGCTGGAGGAGCACATGTGCTGCAGAGCAAATACATTGTTTTAAGTGTATCTGTTAACAGCCACATGTATAATTTAAGTGCAAGTTTTATTCCCCTCAGAATGGGCAATCGTAAGGGCATGACCTTGGGCTTTCACAAATTCAGTGCATTAGGATTCAGTATCTTTAGCAGATGTGACTTTGAAGATACTGAAAGAGGAAGTTTTACTGTTTTACCCCCTAAGCAATGAGCCAAGATACATGTTGAATGTTTTCTGAAGTGTATAGCGAGGTTTGACAATTTTCTTACACAAAGATACTGCTATTGTGTAATCACAGATTTTCTTTGGTTTGTCACAGCCGTGCGTGCTGGTTCTTTCATGCATGATTTTGCTTTGTTATCAAACAGACATCATTCATTTTAACACTTTTTAAAGCCATAAATTTAAAACCTTTATGCATTTTTAATCAAAATGCAAGATTATGTTTCAATGGAATATCTTAACTTTTGTCAACAGTAAATCTTGCAGATGCTATTATGAGATCCTAGGAGAGATTTATGTCAGAAGAAAAGAATGTATGGATAAAGTGGGCCCAACACTTAACCTTTATCCTAAAATACATTGTTTAAATGTATAATCAAACTAAGTCAATTCAATTTATTTAAAATCTGGAAAGAAAACTCTGTTTGGATTTAAATATTTCCTTAATTCTTTCACTTAGATCCTGAGAAGCATTTGTTTATATAACACACAGAGAGATCAGCCTACTTTGATTTTGCAATTGCATATTTCAATTACAGCTTTTTTTTTTAGTTATAACTTCCCCTGTGTGCAACTTCCCACTGCAAGAAGTTAATGCTTTCTAGTTCATGTGAAAGTCGTTTTGGAGAAAAATCTTCAGCAGCTTTTGAGGGGAAAATGGGAAAAAAAGAATAATTGACTAAAGAGAACCACCGCATCTTTAAGAAATTGTGGTCATTGCAAGCATAAAATAAAATAGAGGACCTTCATCTACTGTTACAAAGAAGGTGAAGGATGAAAGTAGTAGATTAAAGTTCCACTTAATGAACAAGAAGTTCAGCTGTGTCAAACAATCAAAGTCATTTTGGAAATGCCAAATGTGCATTGCTCCTTTCTCAGATTGGAACAGCTCTACCACATCGATGCTGGAAATACAAAGTGAAAAAGCTTGTAGTGAGCTGAATGAATGGAAGAATAAATTCCCTTCAAGCCACTGAACACAAAAACCCCTCTCTCTTCTGATGTTATCTGTATTAAGTGACTAAGGGATTTTCTTCTTGTTCTCACCCTCTTCATACAAGTGCTAAAAACATAAGAACCAGGGTGGAATTAAATCCTCCGCATTTTCTGGGTGTTGTGAAACGAGACATACTATTTTCCATCTAGTCAGGAGGAGTTACCAGACCATCTCCAGGATGGTCTGTGTTCTGGCTGAAGAGAAAAAGAAGACAGAGATGAACAGCAGAAGAAACATATCAAGAACCATTAGTGGATGTCAGCCATTGTCCATCTGTTCACAGTGGAATAAATCCAGACCTGAAGGAACAATTGCAACCTGCCCCATATGGCTCACTCCCTTCTGCGCTGGCAGGGCTTCTTTGGGGATTTGACATTGGATGAGGTAAAGGAGAAGCAGCACAATCTGTGCTCCCAGGAATGAACAGCCAATTAACATGAAAGGACAAAAAATGGGTTAGTGACCCAGGGAAGGTTTTCTCCTCCTCACCTGTCTGAAATCTTACTCATTTAAACTGTGTAACTGGCATAGCTGAGGGTCCTGCTATTATTGAAATCTTAAAAATTTACATTTAGCTACTAACAAAATTCTGTGGACAGTGGGAATCCCTCAGTTGGTGAGACCACAGATCCAGTTGTCTCCCAAAGTGTTAAAGAAAGCATTTAGAATATATTACACTCACATTCCATTAAAAATTATAATGCACTATGCTTTCAACATAATGAACCAGTGTAACAACATTCTGCATTTACTTTTATAGAACTGGATTACTG